CCCCTCCCCCCACTCAGCCAAAAACTTTGTTTTATATTTCACTGCAAAAAATGAGGTCATTCACCGAGAGCTCCGTTCTTTCTCCTTCTCTTATTTCACTCCGATGCCTCCTGTACTATCTCCTCCTTCACACCTGTCTCACATGAAGAGATGGCCTTTTTCCTTGCCAAGGCAAACCCCTCCACGTGCACAAAAGATCCCATCCTATCTCATCTTCTCCAACAGATTGTCCCCTCTATTAAGCTTCTCTCTCATTAATCTTCAATTACTCCCTATTTATCGCCTCCTTCCTTACTGCTTATAAACATGTACATGTCTTCCCCCTCCTCAGAAAACTCTTACTTTATCAATCCAGCCCTGACAGCAATTGTCCTGTATCTCTCCTCCCTTTTAAGTGATTGGTCTCATCACTTCTAGACTAGACTCTTTCAGGAACCTCCTAAATGGCCTCCCTGCCTGAGTTCTATCCTTTCTCCACTCCATCTTCCATACAGCTGCCAAAGTGATTTTTCTAAAGCATAGATCAGACAGGTCATTTCCCTGCTCAGCAAACCCAAGTGGTTCCCTACGACCTCTCCTGTTAAACACAAACTTCACCTTAAGACACTTAAAGCCCTTCATAACAACCTAGCTTAACTCACCTTTCCGGCCTTGTTATACTATACCTCGTTCACCTTCTTGCATTCTACAGTCAAGTTAAACTGGAACCATGCAGCTATTGTTCTCACTTGCTTGTCGTTTGACTGATCGCCCAGTCACACAGCTAGTGTCGGAGGCAGCAATCCAATCCAGGCTTTTCCTGGCTCCAAGTGCATGGTTTTATTGTCTTGAAGATACAGCTCTGGATTCAGATTGAAAGAGATACTTAAAAACTCTTCATGTTAATGAAATAAGGCCAGTGATTGTTACTAGTTCTACTACATATTGTAGCACAAGGCTTGAGAATCTCCATGTGCCTTTGTTTATAACAATAAACAAAATAGTAAATAATATATAATAACAATAAAGATAAACTTCAAAGAAGTGCTTCTTTCTTAATTTAAAAAGTATTTTTGACCATTGGGTTTAAAAAAACTGCTGATTGGGCCTTTATATATGGGAGGTAATTCTTTTAAGTTTTTCAGAGTTAGTAGCCTATGAGCAGCTTTTTGTGCAAAACTAATAAGAATTTATTTGTTTCTTTCCTTTTTCCTTTTTTTTTTTGGAGGCAAATGGGGTTAAGTGACTGGCCCAGGGTCACACAGCTAGTTAGAGTGCCTAAGGCCATATTCGAACTCAAGTCCTCCAGACTCTAAGGCCAACTGTACCACCTAGTTGTCCCTTATTCAACATTATTCTAAATAAATTACCAGTCTGGAGACCTGCAGTAGTAAGAATAGCAGAGGAAAAATATTTTACATTATGTTATGCATCTACCTGAAAATACAGTCCACAAAATTCTATTTTATCTTTAGCAGTCTAAAAATGCTTAAAAAAAAATACAGATCCTGAAATTTCTTGTTCATTTTTAACTTCTTATTTTCAGTAAAGTTTTGTTTAAGGGCATTTGGTGGTTAAAGAAACAAACAGGCCAGAGCCCAGCCTCTGTTGTTAATACTTAATGGTGCTGTGCTCCAGTTCCCTTTCCGTAAAGGTTAGCTGATATTCCTAATCATCACCTATCTTTCAAAAGGTTTTTGAGGATTAATTAAATGGTCAGGCAAACGCACACAGAAACATAGAGTGACCTCTTTTGCTGTTACTCAGCTCTTATCTAATACAAAGTTATGATGGCACAGTTTCTGTTGGGTTCTTTTTTAAAGTACTAAATTTATGCTCAGCAGTTTTCTTAGTTTGTAAAGAACTTTCAAATTAAAACACTGCTAAATGTCAAAAGGAATAATTTTAACTCAATACGTGAATTCTAAGACAGTCAAGTAATTTATTCAGGGCAAAATAATTTCTCATTGCCTAATTTAGGAAAACAACATATCTTTAATATCAATCTTTGACTTCATGATTGACATTAGCCAGAAGATATTTTCCTAATTTTTGAATTTTCTAATACTGCCATGTAAGGAGGGAGCTCTGGCCCTATTCTTTCAAGGCCAGACTTTCTACATTGTTGCCTTGTGGGCTGGGGGTATCTCTTTTCTTTGCTATTATTTTGAACCCCGATTATGTTCCCCTATTCCATTTAACCACTTAACATGAATAGCTTTTACACAAGGGGAATTTATGTCAAAGATAAATCAAAAATAAACATTTAAACATTTCTCCCAGTACTTTGATGGCATTCTCTTCCCTTGGTCTCTGATGGAAAAGGCATAACTTAGCTCATTTACTATATAGCATTAGTCTAATCAAGTTTAAGTTCAAAGGTGGAATCACTGTGGTCTTGAAGGTCTCCCAAATATTAGTTCCTTGTTCTTTTTTTTTTAAAGGCAATCAGGGTTAAGTGACTTGCACAGGGTCACACAGCTAGTAAGTATCAAGTGTCTGAGGCCACATTTGAACTCGGGTCCTCCTGACTCCAAGGCCAGAGCTCTATCCATTGCACCACCTAGCTGCCCCCTAGCTCCTTGTTTCTTAAAGCATTCATGCTGGATTGTGAGACAAATGAGAGACAGAGTTTCTGGGTAATTAATAATCAATTAATTAATTTGGACAGCAAATAATCAATAAATCGATAGGCATTTGTCTTCCTTGGTAGCCAAAGACAAAACCATGGATATCTCTGAATGCTTAAATACCTTTGAAAAAGGAGGTGCCCCTGACAGGTGAAAATCAACCCTGATTGGTGAACAATTAATGAAAGAGTGGACATATGATGAGGAGATGGGCTAAAAGTCTTCAGCTCCTCCTGCTGAGAACATGACTTGATCATGAGATTCAGCCTCCTTTAGGAATCTGGACAAAAAAATTCATCTCTACCCAGACCACTCTGGTTGGTTTTCTCCTTCATAAGCTGGGTCACTCTAAATTCTAATGGAGTGTTCTAAGAACAGGGACTCATGTCCTTGGGGTAAAAACTCCCCTAGATTGCATTTTGTCCACACTTTAAATAGAAGTAAGGTCTTCTAGTTGGGTGGGGTCCTTCCCAAGATGGAGGATTTGAGCAATCTCATCTATCAGCAACGTCCCTCAGAGATTGACCCAATGATCTGAAAGGGCCGAATGAGGAAATAGAAAGGAAAAACCTCAATCCTAATTTAATAATTGGTTATTAATATAATAGAAAATCATTTCTCTCAATTGGATTCTGGATTCTGCCTTCTAGATTCCTGTGGTACACTCCCATGATTGGAGTCTTTGTGACTAGAATGGAATTTGTCCATAGTTATTTTTGCATCTTTTCTACGTTATTAGATTGTAAGCTTCTTGAGAGCAGAGACTGTCTTTTACCTTTGTTTGCATTCTCAGTTCTTCTGATAGTGACAGTAGGTACGTCATAAATGCTTGTTGACTGACTAAAAGGGCCACAGATGCCCTGTTTCTTGGCAGGCACATGGTCTCAAAGGCCCTAATCACTCAATATGACCAAAATGAACTTATTATCTTTCCCCCTAGACATTCTCCTCTTTCATTACTTAACCTGTTTGTCTCAGTTTCCTCAACTGTAAAATGGGAATAATAATACCACCTACCTCTCAGGGGTATTGTGAAGATCAAATGAGATATTTGAAAAGCACTTAGCACAGTGCTCAGCACATAGTAGGCACTATATAAATGCTAGTTATCATCCTCACCATCATCATCCACCACCTGTCCTCTGACATTGTCAGCACCCTGGTGAAGGCCTTCATCAACCCCATACATAACCCCCTAGGGTTACTCCAAGAACTGAGCTCCGGGGACCCAATTTGCTGATGGTGTGGATTGGGAAAGTAAGTACATAACCCATTTGTGCTATACCTCTTTATGTCTTCCTCATGTATGTGCCTGTTTATGCATTGCTTATGTGTGTGCTATACCTGTTTGTGCATTGCTTGTGTGTGCTATACTTGTTTGTGTATTGCTTATGTGTGTGCTATACCTGTTTGTGCATTGCTTGTGTGTG